AAGTCGGCAATGTACATATGCGCTTCTTCTTTTGTTTTTGCCCCGAGCATGCAAATCCTTATGTTGTTGCAATTTATTAAAGTTAGCACTACACTCATTGATCTTTATATTTCAACGATATAAATGAGAGAATATAGATTAAAAATGTAAATTTGTTACTTTTTTTTATTAGCTACGTTAATTGTTCCTGAGAAAGACATGCATCACAGCTTAAACTTCTTGACCAAGAAACTATACATAAGAAAATTATATAACATTAAATAAAATTCTAAATTATTGTTAAATTTTGGTTAATCACAACATGAACTATAGTCATTTTAATGTGAACAACGGTTTTGTGAAACAGATAAATGGCAAATCACTGCCAGGTGCGAAAGCCAGTTCTGTCCTGGAATGCGACGATTGCGGCGATTTTACAGACTGTTATAAGATCACCAGTTGGGGCAAAATCAAAGCGCTTCTGCAGAAAAACTTCTTGCGTATGTGGAGAAATATCGGGTACGTTTTCAACATGACAGTCATTTAACGTAACAGTTAATACTGAAGTTTTCATACATACTGACTTTATTGTTTCTTTCTTTTCATTAAAATTCCTTTGAAAAGATATATCATTTTTTCTCTCAGTGTACATATAAATAAATTAACAGAATTTAAGACGATAAATAAGCAATTGCTTGAATATATTGCTTGAAAAGATATGTTAATGTCTTACGAAACACTTTATTTTCGCATAGCGTGATGCTGTTTATCTTTGCTCTGCCGGTGATGCAAGTGATCCTCTTCTGTCTGGCGATTGGGAGAGATCCTACGGGACTGAAACTGGCCATAGTGAACCATGAGATGTTTTACGAGAACATGACGTGCCCCGTTTCGACGAACTGCAGTTTCACGTTTCTCAGTTGTCGGTATCTCAACTTCCTGGATAACGAGACAATGATAAAGGTCTTTTTACATAAAAATATATACTAAAGGCCCTAGGCCCATATTCAGAACGCGCTTACAACGATGTTAGCGCGCTAACTTACTATACTTTACATCACGCATATTATAGAATTTCAGAGATAAAAGCGCGCTTTTATCGATAAAAGCATGTTCTGAATACGGGCCATATAATATTAATGCAACTTAATATAATGTGATACATTATAAGTGTGAACGAGATAATGAATACAATTCTAAAAAAATAAAAATTAATTTCGTCGTAAAACTGTTCGTAAAACGAGACTTTCGTCGCTTCTTATTCTATGTTCTATTTCCTACTACAGACGTATTATCCGGATCCAGAATCGGCGATGGAAGCCGTACGCAAAGGTGATGCTTGGGGTACCTTATACTTTACGGAAAACTTCACGGATGCTCTTGTGGCGAGGATGGCCTTAGGAAGAGATTCCGATGACGAGACTCTCGATCAAAGCGAAATCAGAGTTTGGTTGGACATGTCTAGTAAATATTTGCTCAGTGGATAGCATTAATAATTCTTAAAAAACGACAAGCTTAATTGTTGCTCATATATGTTATTCATTCCACGTATTGAATTTTTATTTATCCTTTATCACTTTACTTTTTTATTTATTATTTCCAAAAGAATATATTTTTGTATTGATAATTATTTGTTGAATCTTACTTTTGTCACTCGTTCCGTATCATACTTCTTTTCATGCAATGATTAAGCTTGGTAATCGAATTTTATTTCTTTTCCTTACATGTAGTTTTATTAAAACATTTACTATTCATATTCATCGACGCATTGACTCATTGATGTGATTAACATTATATATAGACGTGTTTTAATGGCTACATTTTGAATGCAGTTTGCTTTAAATAGACATGTGAAATCTCGCAATTTCAGATCAACAAATAGGCCTGATGTTGGCGAGAAATCTTCAATATTCGTATAGAGATTTTGCCAAGGATCTTTTATCGGCTTGCGAACAGAATACGAAACTGGCTGACGTGCCAATTCAATTCAAGGAACCTATTTACGGCACCAGTGAACCCAGCTTCACGGACTTTGTGGCACCAGGTGTAATATTGACGTAAGTTCAATAATATTTAATTTATTTGTATATTTCCAAGTTTATTAATGTTTAAGTTAATTAATATTTATTTAATCCGATTCTCGATTTGTTTATTTTCTTTACTTTTGAAAAGTCAAGGATCTTTGTATCTTTAATCAATCAAAGTCACTTAATAGAACAACTTAATCCTCTTCCTTCGTTTGCATAAACACTTCAAAAATCTTACCCATGAGTTTTTTCAAAATTGACTTTGATTAACAGTATTGTTTTCTTCCTGGCGGTTGCACTAACATCATCGGCGCTGATCATCGAGAGAATGGAGGGTCTATTGGACCGAAGCTGGGTAGCTGGTGTATCGCCCGGTGAAATCCTTTTCTCCCACGTGGTCACGCAATTCGTAGTGATGTGCGGTCAGACAGCCCTGGTGTTGATCTTTATGATCCTAGTGTTCGGTGTCGAATGCAAAGGCGACATCGGCTGGGTTATTATACTGACGATCCTTCAAGGACTCTGCGGCATGTGCTTTGGTAAGATGAGATATTAGCTTCTCATGCATAATATATATGTAAAGAGATAATACAACAAATTGATGATGATTTTTTGCAATTTCTGAGAAAAAGATGTAGCTTTTGTCACAAAAGTGCAAATAAAAGATGCGTTATCTTTTTACTCTTTGAATGAGCGAATTCCAATTATTAGAAAACAAGTGTTATAATCTGGATTCCTCTACTTCTCGTAGGGTTCGTGATTTCGGCAATTTGCGAACTTGAAAGGAACGCCATTCAGCTGGCTCTAGGCAGCTTCTATCCTACGCTTCTTCTCAGCGGTACGTATGACGTCACAAAATATATTGTCAGTGGAAGTGATAGGCATATTCGGAATTTAAAAAAAAAATTCTTGTTTTTATTTACTGTAATATAGTGTCTAAAAATTACGTTTACATGAAATTTTGCGCGAGAATTGAAATGTTGCTTTTATTGATCAGATTGAATTGATAATATACTTGAGATAATATACTTTAAGATAAATATGGTAATCATCTCGTACTCGATGAATCGAATCTGTTACTGTTATACTAGGCAATTATTTTGATCTAAATGTCACGCGTTGAAATCTTTACTGTATCTGCCATAAGTGAAAGTCGGCCTATACCCACACGCGCTGTGCTCTAATCAAATTGCTACGTAAACTGTTCATTAGATCTGACTCTCTGATTCTCTTTGTCTGTAAAGTGTAAATTTAATATCTAAAGTAGTTCATAGAAGACTTGAGGAAATTAGAAAAAAAAAAAAAAATAAAAATAGTAATTTGCTGCTGAAAAAGCGAGCATGCAAAAGTTACATAAAATAATTGAACCCAAATTGAAGAAAAGAACATATAGATTAGTCGACTAATCGGCAAACTTTATTTTAAAGATTACTTGATTTTCCATTTTACAGGTGTAATATGGCCGGTGGAAGGCATGCCGACGTTCCTTCGATACATCTCACAAGGTCTACCACTGACGATGGCGACGACCGCCTTACGTTCCATGCTGACCCGCGGCTGGAGTATCACAGAGTCGAATGTCTACAACGGCTACATCTCCACCATCATCTGGATCATCGTGTTCCTCACGATAAGCTTGCTGGTGCTGAAGTTTAAGCGCGGATAAAGACAGCTCATAATTTTTGCCCTCGCGTTCAGACTGTATTAGGTGTACAATGATTCGCGAATATTTCGCAACGAATAGACAATCAGGAAGCGAATGTTTCCCAAAGAGGAACGAATCAATCAGGAATTGGTGTTCGAACGTGTGTTCGACGGATGTGACGTAGCAATTCGGGACTTGCGTTTCCACCCGGGAGCGAAGCGATCCTTCGAAGACGATCTTCTTCGTTCACCTGTTTCATAGTTGTATTATAACTGAAGTCAAAATTAATGGAGCGTTAGTTAGGAACCGTACAGAATTAGCGGAGACTGTAGGCGCAATTGGATGTCGATGATCGAGAAGGGTACTTGGAGAACTTCTGCTTGGACCTTATCGTCCATGAAAGTGTTCCGCAACTCAAGAAGAGTCCTTCTATTTAGAAATATAATATCCAAGAAAGAGAGATATTCCCTACCCAAAAAAATTTTACATCCAACTGCCATCGTTTAATTGATATTCGGCGGCATTCTTTCGGCGGCATTCCTGAATTTTTCGAAATGAAGAAAAGAAGATACATTAGTCGGTAAATTAGCTTCGAATCCAAATGTGACGCCAATACGATCTCGTAGCACTCTCCGCCGCGAATGGACCTCCGATACATGTGATGCTCCTACGTGCGCTTGATATGCTTTCAAAGCTCATGAATCGCGCGTACATGTGCGTATGTGTATTGTGTTATACGTATGTATGTGTGTGTGTTTGTATGCATAATTATAGGAACTTTCGAATAAATGTACGATGATGATAAGCATGAGACTGCCGCGTTTGCCTCGTGCGTCTGTTTATAGGGATTATATTTTTATTTGGCGTCTGTAAAAAATTAGTGCAGATGCCCGAGAATACCGCCAGAGTTCTCCTTGTTAATCGATCTCTTGAGGATCGCGATCGAGGGAAATAGAATCGGCGCTTTTCATTTACATGATTTTCAGTCGACACAAGTGTTGTTCTATCTTCGTTACTCTCTAAATGTTAAGAAAGATAGAATATGGTTTGTATCGACTTTTGTCACTGAATAGAAAGCACTGTCGACCCAAGTTAACTTCAATACGAAAAGCGTTTATCATATGTAAAGATTGTACTATTGTAGAGAATAATGTCTCGAATGATTTAAAAATGTATAACATTAATTTATCTTTGCAGTATAATTTAACATAACATATATAAAGATAAGTTGGCTTTATTATTTTCACGTAAAAGTTGAAGTACTTTACAATTATGCAGCAAAAAAAACAATAAACAACAAAAAAATAAAAAGCGGAGAGTAAAGTGTTTCCATATGTGACACCTGGAACATTTATACTTAAACCTTTTTTCACAAAGAATCGTTTAAGTAATTTGGCAAAGAAGTCCAAAATAGAAAAATGTGTTTGATAGTGTTGTGTATTGTGAATAATATCAAGAACAGTATTCTATTTCCCCTGATTGCGCCTATTCACGTTTTCGGAATAACACGAATAAAATTTGCGTGTTTACAATTAAAAATTCCGTTACGTGCATATCATGGACAATGAACGATGTTACCATCGCTGGACTGCACATAATCTTCACTGGCGATCGTAACTAGGTGTTTGGATGTAACACCTTTACAAAGCTATTTCTTGGAGATTGGTGAAGGGGATCTGATAAACATCATCCTCTGGGTTAAAATGGGATCGTAGTTAATAAGTTTAAATAAGTTAATAAGTAATAGTTGATTACTCGTAGCGCGATTTTACTTGCCCATGACTTTAAGTACATGCATACGTATTTTATTTAATTCGCAACGCAATTGGAAACCGCTATAATAAAACAATTGGGAACAAAAAGCGACAGTACCGTCATTCAGAAAACATAATTATAGTTTTTATTTTGTTATATATATACAATATTATATATAGGATAAAAATATGTATAATATATATATAATTAAAAATATATATTATATATATATATTTTAGATGCGTTTTTATATATTCTTACTTGTTACAAATTACTTATTACAAATCATATATGTATATATGTACATATATATAACGATTTGTAACAAGTAAGAATATATTATAACATCATATTGAAAATCGTTATCGTTCATTGTAATTTATAATGATCTAATCTATCAGCTCATGAATTACAAACTATAACATTTATGTAACAAAAGTTATCTGCCAAATATAGCAGTCATTCAGTGGTGTATAAATAAAAATTATAAATGATTTAATCATTCCAAGAATACAATTAACGCGGTTTTACATATATGCATGCTGCAATATATAAAGAATTCTAGATATTATAGTATTTAATAAATATTTTTATATATAAATAAATTATATATTATTGTGATCAAACGTAAAATGCAATTCTTACGCGCAGATTATTGTTGTTAAAGAGAAACTGTAGGGGAAAGTGGTGTCTGTTAGTAACAAAAAAAATTTTTGCAGCTAACTAGTTTATTATAAATTACAGGAAATCTTAATTTTATGTGAAAACAAGAGGCTTCTTTGGGGTTGATTATAACATAATAGATATTAGAAAAACAATAATTATAGAAAATATTCACTATTAAAGACACCGCCGCAACTTGTTACTATTGACACTATGGTAGTGTCAATTGTAACACATCAACACTATGCTAATGAACATTAAGGAACATAAAAAAAAAAACAGAAAAATAATAACCGTGAGGTCTCAAATATTGTAAATAAAAATAACTGTTGTTAATGATCAAATATTCAATCGTTTAAACAAGTAAGACAAATTGGTGTTATGAAAAATTGGTTGTTATCTGCACAGCTTAAATATATCTATTTTCTGCATTCCGTGCACTATAACCAATTTTCTTGACTTTCTCCGTACGACTCACATTTTCACAACTGATAAATCGAACTAGAATACGATTATAATATGTTACAATCGATACCACTGTGATTGTTACTTTTGCAATCACCGCCGCTTGTTTCCATCAGATGTCCATTAAACTCACATATAAGCAATAAATTTAATTGATACATATTTTATTGCAAAACTTGATATATATTTATAACTTGATATATATATATATATACACAGGGTTGGCAATGTTACCCCACAAAAATAACTCATTACCGTTACCGTTCTTTTTCCCCAAAAGTAACTCGTTATCGCGCGCGCGTTACTCGTTATTGATTTGCGAAAGTAACTTTTACCGTTATCGATACTCAAAATGTAACGAGTCATTACTTTTTCATTACTTTTTTTGCTTGATGCTAATAAACTTTGTGACAGTGGCTAGAAATAAAGTAACGATAAAAGTAACTAGTGAAATCGTTACCATTACTCCAAAAATGTAACTGCGTTACAATGAACGTTACTCAGAAGAAAATGTAATGTCGTTACCCATTCGTTACTGAAAAAAGTAACTTGTAACAGTAACGATGTTACAAATAACGCGTTACTTGCCAACCCTGTATATATATATATGTGTATATTTACATCAAACAATATTATTTTATGACAAATTGTTATGGGACGAGTTGCAACAAAATAAGCGTATAATAAAGTTTACGATTTGACATTGATTCCAAATAAACAGATACTGATAAGTTTGCACTGGCGTTTGCGCCCACTCAATTCTTTTCATCAATAATTTACTTCTGTTAAAACTATGCAATCGTGCACGCAATTTAACTTTTCGTCAATAGATAAAGTTATTACGGTCAGTGTTACAATCGATCCTCTGTTACAATCGACACAACTCTCCCCTACATGCCATCGGACATTTATAATTAGTAAAAAAATAAAATATTAACGAAAATATGCGACACAAAAAGAAAACTCGACAACGTGCAAAAAAGTGTATTGTATTTTATTTATATACATAAACGGGACATGAAACTCTTATATATGTACATGTATCTTTTCATAAAAATGTTATTATTGCATCGATATATCACAATATAAATTGTTCTTCATTTTCTCGTCTTATTATTGCTTTATATAATTTATATACAGATTAATTCTGTTGTGATTTATTTCGAATCTAGTGCTCCGAAATTATCATTTTGTACATATTTCATCAATTTTTGTGACATTCAACCACTCTTTTCTAATACCTATACAATTTATATAAATTTATGTTGATTTAAGTAAATTATACAAATCAGTAAACAAGTTAATAAGATATTAAATATCCAAGCATGTGCTAAAAACATACATTTTTATTGACTCTGAACTGAATAATAGATGCAGAAATGTATAATAAAAAATATAAACTAGACTAGACCGTAAATACAAGATGAATTAATAGAGTGAATTCTTAACATAAATTAAAAATATTAGCTACTCTACCTAAAATTAAGTAGTTTATATATTGTTGATTACATTTTATAGTTTTCATCTTTTACGAAAGAACAGATAAACAATACGTTGTGTCACCGATACAATATTATGATTTCTCTGTGCAGCAAAGGAAAAAAAAATATGATTTTTTTTTTTTTGTAAAATTCGCAACAAAGTAAGAGTAACCTATTCAATATGATAATAAATATCCAAGTGTGCTAAAAATATACATTTTCGTTGATCCTGAATTTACTGTTTCAGATTAGTAACAATCTTTTTCATCATCCATAAGCCAGTCGCGATTTTCCTCCAATAATTTCTTCCAATATTCTGTAAACGTAATTTTTTGTATTACATACACATTGAATTACATAATTGAATTATATGTGAGATACATGCATACTTAATATATTTTATATTGATGAACTCTTAAAATAATTGTTGTTGAACAATTACTTATCTTAATTGTAAAAAATTTATTTTTCTTCGGTAGTACTTGCTTAGTAAGAAAACCTGTATCACACATCTAATAAGCGCATTTTGTTCCGTTTATTCCGTAATTACCTGCTAACTCCTGAAGTGTACCACCAGTGCCGCCATACTCGACGGGCAAGGTATTAACTGGAATATCCTTAAAACTGTTCTGCGTCGCTTTTTGTGAGTAGACGTGCAATCTATTCTTCATCTTTTCAATCATAAAAGATTTAAAAATTCTCAAAACAATATCGACATATTCGGCCGCGTTAATTATGTTAATTGATTGCATTCTTATAGGATAGCTACTCTGCCACATGTGAACCAAATTTATTACAATTTGGGGTCGCATTTGAAGAGCATGTCGCATAGTCGGATTGGCTACGTCTATGAACACTGAGCAGCCATACACAGATGCTGTGGTATAATTCTTTGTCGCAACTTCTGTCGCCATCACGCCGATCTAAAAAATCATCCGTCGAGAAATAATAGACGACAATTATAAATACTTTATCATGACAACATCTGTCATAAAACATTCGAGCATTATGCTATTTTAATCTTTACCTTAGCTATGTCTGAAAGTTCGTGTTTCTTCGGGTCATGCCGAGTGCCATACACGATAATAACCAATCTCCCATGATTGTCTGGCTTCCGCAGAGGCAAAAATATCCTAAACATGAATAAAATATTTCAAACTCTTTCGAAAAATCAAAATATCTTTTGGTATTACAACAATGCACAGTAGGCCAGGAGGCCCGGAAAAAGTGGCCAAAAACCAACATTCAAATTTACATTTAATTGTCACGGTATTTTAAAGTAGATGAGTTGAAGTGACTGTGGAGAAATTTTTTCGCAGATAAGTCGATGTCCGTCCTCGTAAGAACATCATGAAGCTAAAAATATTATTCGTGTTCTAACATATTTATGATCGTTCCTATTTGTATAAAAAATTGAGCTTATTATTTCTGAATCGTTTTTTCCACGTAATATGAGTATTATTGGTATTAGAATTCTAAAAAAATAATAGTGATATGAAGAGATTAACCTGAATTGAGTATTGTAATTTATTGTGATATCATTTTTATGTTGTCGATTATGTACAAGTTGCCATTTCTAAGCTCCCCAAAACTCCACCTTCTAATAAAAAATTTAAAGAGTGTCAGGATCTTCATTATAACGTTTACTTTGAACTTATTCGGCGATATTTTGCGAATACTATTATATAATTTTCCATTTGTGTAAACAATTAAATTTGAAATTATTCGGATTGGTTATGATTTCACAACTGTATGCGCGATTGTACGTATCAATTCTGTTGTTTGAATTTTTTTCAATCGAGAGGAAGACTCTTTTCCATTATTTCTTCTTTTAATTTTTATCTCATAAGTAGGGCGCACGGCTTATTCAATTTAAACAAAGCGCACGGTTCTTCGCGCACGCCGTGTCTTGTGATCGTGCCCGAATTTTCGCACCTTATTCATAAATATAGTTTCTAAAGAGTCCCAGGTTATATGCATCATGGCATCGCACATTTCGGGATAAATTCAGGATTTGAGCAAATTAATTACATTTAAGAAATTAAAAATAGAAATGTATGTAGTAACTATTAACTGTTAACATTAAAATGTAATACTTCTACCTGACAAAAAAAGGCTATACATTGATACATCCCGGTAGGATATACATATATCGATAGATTCTTCACATTTATAAAACATTTTTTAATAAAATCAATAAAACATATTTGTTTTTAAATAACAAAATTGATACCGTTTCTAGAGGGTTAAAGGAAATAAAGAAAAAGGAAATAAAAGAAAACTCACAAAATTTGATTAACGTTCTGAAATTATGGTAGTTACCCTAAATCAAGCAGTTCCTGTAGTTCCGGTCGAAACGGATCTTTATTCATGAACCATTCTGGTAAGCGAAATCGCTGTTTATAATAGTTTCGCATCCTGATCTTAGTTTTCTCGAGATTAAATTTGCAGACTCTCAAAAATCGCAGGATAAAGAAGTCATCTGTGTGCAGATTAAAAATTCGCTTCAAATAAAAAGCTACATAGAGTAGCATGAATTTAGGAACAAAAATTTCTCTAATATTTATTTCACAGAAAATATTAAAGAGATTTATTATACTGTATATCCTAGGAAAAGAGGAAAAATTATTCAGAATCATCTAGAAATCGCTATCGTTAAGAAATTAATACTTACAAGCGTTTTAATTATAAATTATTATAAATCACTTTTTTATATATCCTATTCATAATGTTTAACTGTCTGTAAGTCTGAAATTTTGTGATGTTATTTGTGTTAGAATTTTTTTACTTTAATTGATCTTTACATAATATTTAAACAAAGTAATTTATTTAACATTTTACATATATATGGTCATCTATAGTTACAAACATATTTTAATTATTGAAATGATGATTTTTCTTGCTTCCTCGATTAATTAAAAATATTTAAAAAATCAATTATATTCTTTAATTCATTCAATAAACTAATTGTAAGTATTAGGTGTAACTTCGGCGCCGTTGAAGGTAATTTTATTTAGGGATGCACCGAATATCCGAAAAGTATCCGATATCCAGTACTTTTTTTACTATCCGACCGGATAGTCGGATATCATTAATATCCGGGAAAATATCCGGTTTTATATTTGTTTGCAAGTTTGCGTCATTAATGCACTTCTATATTCTTTTCAGCTGAACTTCGTACGCAGTTCGTTTTTCTTCTTTTTCTTTTCGTTGGGGAGATAAAAAAAAGATAAATTGTGCAAGAAGTTCAAGCTATAAAGATTGCATTCGGGGAGCAATTACAATATAAGCGCTAGAGTGTCATTCTAGTTTTATCATTCATTAGACGTAAAATAGGAATAGGATATAGAGTGTGTTCCGAATTACACGAGCTTTGATATATCACTTGATATATCATTTATCCTTTGTTGTTTATCGAATATTAAAGAAGGATAAAATGATACATCATGCCACCGACAAGATACTATTAAAGACCGTCAACCCTGAGCAAATTTTCGTCCATACAAAAAGAGCCCCGAGAGCCCGGACGTAATAGAACGCTTACATTATCGACAATTGATATAAATTTGCGCGATTATTAACATAAATATTTCAGTAATATATCATTAAATTGTTGATTTTTTATTATATAAATGTTCTATAAGTATGCATACTCATAATGCGATAATATCTTATAGATATATTGCTGCAAAATTACAATTTTTTTTCTCTACAGTTATCATCTCTATTGATAATTAGACTCGGATGATAACATTAAAATCATAATTATTATCACTATTTTTTCTTTTATGCAGTCCCTTTTCCTCTTTGTTCTCTTTTTTGTTTTTACTCAGCTTTTTTTTTAGACATTGTCCCGGAATCCAATCGGATATATCCGGAAAATATCAGATATCCGACTCGAAAAATTGCCTTCTCGGATATCCGATGTAACATTCTTTTCGGATATCTGATATCCAATAATTTTACGGATACCGGATATCCAATAATTTTACGATCCGGTGCATCCCTAATTTTATTATTCCGGAATTTTAATAAGCCGCAATTAAAAAATCAAGCGAATATTTCAAAAGCTTTAATATTTCAATGCATAATCATTACCTCTATCATTTTTACCGATTCGTACGCGCAAGTCATCGCATTCCTCGATCCAGCGTTTGATTTCCGCAATGGCGTTCTTTCTAGTCTCGTCGGTTTCGTTCAAATGTACCGCCGCATATTTTTTATCGTCACTCGTCAGTTCCATGGCCAATGTTACTTCGGCCATGGTCAGTTCTTGCCTAGTGTGATGTACGACGCTGTCGCTGTAGTTACTCGCCATCGTGATGCTAGTGAACGCGAAGTCTTATCCACGGAGAAACTCACATCTGCTGGTTGTGAAAACTCGAACGCACAAAACTACAACAACGCGATGCGCGATCAACAATAAACACGATCTGCAGACAATTTGATGCACAAGTACGTGCTCTTTGGAATCTACGTGCTCTTTGGAATGATTTCCTTGACAAATCAGCTTTAATAATCAGATATTGCGCCATCTGCAGTACATAATGATGGATCCAGATTGATTAACTTAATGAATATTTAATATTCATCACTGAACTCTAATAATACTGCACTGTTATGTCCATAAGTAAAAAATGAGAATAAGATAGTATATGATGATAAAGAGCTACTTATCTCTGTCTAATCATTCTGCAACGAAGAGGTATCTTGGTGGGTTATCTGTCTCCTTTTAACCATCCTATAATTTACTGACTCTGTTGCTATGAATCATAGCAGGCAGTGCACGTTCGAGTATTATTAGAGTCCAGTGGTACTCATCCTCGAAAGGATGAAAGAGAAAGAGAAACAATTTATTTTCTTTGCCGGTTAAAGATTAAAAAAAGTGCGGTAATTAGTGTAATTAGAGTAACTATCTTAATTACTGCAGGTTTTTAAAATTGTAATTAACTTAAAATGAAAGGTATGAGAGCGTTATGTATTATAAACGTTTTAATGTTAAAGTAAGACTATCATGTAAATATAACTACATAAAATATTCGATAAGTTTTATTTAATTACAAAATAATTATAAAAAAGTTAATAATTCTTTTCTAAATAGAAGTGGAGCAAAACTGCATGTTTTGAAAGCACAAGCAAATATATATATATAGTTTTACTTTTTTGTATGTACTAAAGCAATTATATGCTAATGTTTTAGTGACATTTCAATAAAATAAGCATAAAGAAGTGATGGCGTTACTTTTAATTTATACACATATATTGAGACGGCACATTAGGGACAATTATTTAAGGTCTACTTGTATTACTAGCAGTAGTAAATAAGCCTCATCTTTTTGTAATTCCATAACTAGAGAAATTACACGCGATATGTTTTAGTGCACGCATTATGCTTTAATGCATAACACGTAAAAAGATAAACATTGCATCTTATCTATTGACAATAGTTGATGACGCGATTACGATGATTCCACTGATAATAAGCGTAGAAATAGCGTCTGAATAAATTTCTCTATATTTGATTTATTCTATACGTATAAGCGATCCGTTAATAATACGCGCTATATTTACGTAGTCTTTAATCAGAGTTTACATATTATCGATATTTGGGATATAATTCATCCACTGTTCACGTGAATACATTTGTGCAAAACCCGAATTACGATCAGCGACACTTACCCTCGCTTGGAAACAATCTTCGCAATTTCTAACAAATTGCTATCGTAATTAATATTATTCGCTGATAGTGTACTTTTTTGGACAAATACAGTTAATCAAAGGACGCAATAAACATGGATTGGTATAAGAAACGTATAAAAACACATATAACCATACGTATTGTACGTGTAAGAAACGTTATTCACTTATTTTCATTTTTGAACTAAATCATTTTTACGTAAAAATCAAAATAAAAGATACAACTTGAAATGGCTTTGATCTTGACAAATAATATCTAGGACATGATCTTGAATAACATTTCAAGAGATTTTAGTCGTCAGTCGAACACCTTGCGTAATGCTAATGTCGGCGGTAACTTTCAAGTTTTATAACTCCAAAAGCACTCAGTGAAAAATAACTTGATTATAGTGTTTTAGTAAGCTCTCGACATCGACTATTAGATTCTGGAATAAAAAATAGGGTGTTCCATTTTAAAAAATCAACGTGACCTTGACTTGACCTTTCGCATCGGCACCTAAGGTCAAACTGATAAGATCAACAAATAAAACTTTTTAAACTCTACAACTTTTGTCTGAACACTTTTACGATTGGATATTATCCAGCGAAGATAAAAAAAATGGTATCACGGGTGTCTGAAACACCCGGTATATAATACATAGGTATTTAATGGGAGTATAGAAAGATTTGAAAAATTAACTCGCGTTTAATTGTTTATAACAAAGCCGTAAGTGATATTATAAAATTTGTTTATATTTAAAGTTAATTACAACTTTGTAAAATAAGAATATCAATTAACAATCACTTCCACATTAATAATATCGGCATTCTAATGTAAATGAGACAAATTGGTTTTAACATGAGTCACATTTCAGTCGAATGGATGAAAATTTTAGGGAAACCCAGGAATATTTCTTCTCTTTATACTTTCCTTTATTAGTTCTGAAAAAATAAAAATAAGATTAACAAAATGGTATTTGTAAAACAAAATACTTTTTAAATAAAAACGTATATACAGGTAAAGGTATATACAGGGTGTCCCATTTTAATGTCCCCAAATAACTTTTTTATTTTTGATCTTAGAAAAAAATGTTTCGGACAAAAGTTGTCCGAACCCATGCGCACGATTACCCGACGCGCGAGAAATTTTTCGATTTTCCGTTTTTTCCTTTTTGCCAAATAAACATTTTTGAATGAAAATCTGTTCAATATGAGGATACGTAATGGTAGAAGAATGTTTATAATTTCTATTTCCATATTTATATCTCTTTGAACTTGAAAAATCATTCCAGGACAATAAATTTCCCTTAGGTGCACACAATTCACCCACTATCCCCTATATTATACGTATAGTCGCCTTTCGATTATACGTTAAATACAAAACAGATTAATTAAAATGTTTGCAGGAATAAATACGTGTATAATGAAAGAAATTAAATAGACTAGATTCTGAGAGAATAAGCAAATACAATGAATTTTTACGTAAATTAAATATATGATGACCTACTGAAAAGGAAGAAGTTCATTCTGCACTAGAAATTCTGTACTGTATCATTTTTTGTATTAATACACTAATAGAAAATTCCTCTATACAGAGAAAAAGATAATACTTTTCGTAAAACTCGCAAAACAGAAAAAGAACTTATATTCGATCTCATAATCATATTCAATCTAAGAACATACTCTTTGTCGTTTTTAAATCTAACGCCTCCAAATAGCGATTTTATCGTTATCATCATCTTTTTTAAGCCATTCGCGATTCTCCTCGATTAATTTCTTCCAATATTCTGCAAAAGTAAATGTTTGTATTACACATACATTAAATTATATGAGCGAAATATATACAAAACATGCACTGAATAAAATTAATATAGATACATACCATATGTAACTGTACTTTAAATCTAATGAACTACTCTTACAATTAGCAAACATTTAATGACTAATTTTATCTAAGTAATTGCTTATTTTAATTATAAAAAGTTTATTTCTACTTCGGAAATACTTGCTTAATAAGCATTCTTATCGTTCAATAAACATTTCGTTGCATTCATTATTTTTTAATTTACTGCAATTACCTGTTAATTCTTTAATTGTACCATCAGTGCCGCCATACTCGACGGGCAAGATGTTAGCTGGAATATCCTTGAAACAGTTCTGCGTCGTTTTGTATGAGTAGACGTGAAATATATTCTTCATTTTCTCCGTCAAAAAAGATTTAAAAATTTGCAAAATACCATTAAAGATTTCTGACACATTAAATACATTAATTGACTTGACCCTCCCGGGATAGCACTTCTGACACATGTGAACTATATTCATTAATAGGGATGGTCGGAGTTGAGCAATGTGGCGTAAAGTTGGATTAGATGTATCTATAAATAATGCATAACCATACACGGATCCTGTGGGATAATATTTCATTGCTATATCCAACGCTATCGTAATCATCTAAAAAAAATTCATACATAGAAAAATAATGCGAATTGAAAATATGGTACAGGTCGAACTGTTACATTGTTATTATTTTTACCTTAATTAAATCTAACATTTTGTGTATTGTCGGATCATGCCGCGTGCAGCGCACAATAACAATTAATCTTCCTTGATTATCTGGCTTCCGTAGAGGCAAAGCTGAACTGAATAAAAATGAAGAATTTCAGACCTTATTTTAAAAAAATTAAATATAGTTGTACATGTTGTAGTTTTACAGAGATGTTCAGCTTATAAGTCTTTGAAAGTTCTCAAAATATTCTTACTAATGTACATATAATAACATAAATGAAAACAAAAGTTAATACAAATTTATCTGCAAATGTAAGCAATTCATCATTAAAATTAAAATTGCAATTTGTTTGAAGTATTTTGTATATACAAAACAAATAAAGGTAAATATATAAAAAATAAGAAATATCTACTTACAATCTATCAATTCCCATTATATTATTAAATTGATAAACCCTTAGCTTAAAACAATTAATATAAATTAACATAATTGAATTATTTAATAAAGTAAGAATTGCAATGTTCATATTTTTATGGAAGAAAATCAATTCTAATTAGAATGCGGGAATTATAAAACTTTGGTGAACTATTCTAAATCATAATCCGTATAACAAATCAAACTAACAAAGACTCCTTATAAATCAAAAGAAATTGGAAAGAATGAGGGTTTCAGGCGCAAAAGACGTCGCGCAAATAATACACTCATAAAGCGTAAAACTTCTTTATTCTATTAAACGCGCTTACATGTTTCGACTCACTTTTGAGCCTTCTTCAGAGACAATACAAGCTAAACAGAGACAATATATAAACTGTGAATAAAAGTTATCTTATCATGGTGAGCTCCCCTACATTGAGAACTTAAATGCCAGAATTAAACCCAAGTAGTAGAATTAAACTTGTCACGCGGTCCGTATGCACCCTAATTCTCGCAATTTATTGATACTATAAAACGATACTCTCATATGATCGCTATTCAATCTACCAAGCTTCTCAGTAATACCACGAACGAAAGGAACAGTGATCCACGAAGGCTGCACTACATCAACGCTATTATGATTAACAACACTCTTCCTATTACTAGCCATAATAATAATGTTCTTCAAACGGTTGCTAATATTCTCAAATATAAAGTTCAATGGATAATCATTCTCTAACAATACTTTAATTATGAAACAGAAATTATCAACGTGAAATTTAGGATTCGAAAGCAAAACCATCCTATCAACTAATCCCGCGATTGTACCTATTTTTTGAGAAACCTGGTGCTATGACTAAAAGTTTAAATATCTACCCGAGAAGGTCGGCTTGTGATACCAATCAAACTCTAACAACTCATTATCCCTAATCACTGTAACATTCAAAAAATTCAATCTATCACCTCCTACTTCCATAGTAAACTGAAGCCTTGGATGCTGAGAATTAAAAATATCAAAAATGAAGCTAACCGAAGAATCAGGCGCCGCCATGATTATATCGTCAACATACCTATAGTAAAGGGGCAACGGAAATCGAATCAAAGACAAAGCTCTACTCACCAATTTTCGCATAACTAGATTCGCGATGATGCGAAATAACGGAGAGCCCATAAGAGTACCGTAATTCTGCTTATATATAACACTATCAAAAACAAAGAAAGTAGAATCTAAAACAAACTAAACCGCTTTGATGAATCCCTCCTCAGGTAAACAACAATCTCTAGAAATAAATCGCCAATCGTTTTTGATACAGTCCATCGCATAGTCAATGTTAATGAATGTTAATGAAGAGGCTAATAACATCCAGTGACATTAATTAAAATTCATCACTCAACCGCCTACCATCAAGCTCCTTAATAAGTTTAAAATTATTTTCGATATGACTATCCGCCTTAGAAATTGTTTTAATGATAATACTATGAAGAAACACTGCCAACGAACAAAGGATTATTTATCGAAAAAATTATTATACGAAAGGGACAATCCTGCTTGTGTATCTTCGGAAAAGCGTTGCCAAAGCGCCCTCGGAAGTATCCCATCATTACATAACAAACTTCTATATGTGGAATTAGATACATATTTTTCTTCCTTCCAACTAACTAATAAAGCGCATTATAATCCTCCTCGTCGGATCATTTTCAATGACCTCATAAGTATTCTCATCCTGAAGCATCTCATTTACCTTGGAAATATACACCTGTCTATCCAATGCCACCGTCACGCTACCCTTATCCGCACTAGTAAAAATAACCCTGTCATTCATACGCCTTAAAAAATTTCTAGGGTCTTTCGCTATCTGTAACAAACACCTGTTTGCCTCCGTACAATGTAAGGAACAAGAAGCTAAGTTATTTAATACAGGAAGTGAGTGGTTCGAGATCGAGATCCGTTCATCAATAGACAATTTGTAAATATTGCTTTCAATACACTTAATAAGATCGACCATTAAATTTAATCTATTATTCAAAGGTAAGGCACTTTGCCTTACCTTTGAATAGTCTAGTAAGTTTATACATATGCGCGGGTAAATAAATTCACCATAATCTTACGAATTTCAGCACTCCAATAAATTCTTATATATTCAATATTAATGATTATTACCCCAAATCAATCATTTCCTGCAGCTCTGGTTGAAATGGATCTGTATTCGTGAACCATTCCGGCAATTCGGATCGCTGCTTGTAACAGTTTCGTATCCTAATTTTACATTTCTCAATATTAAATTTACTGACTCTCAAAAATCGCAAGATAAGGAAATCATCTGAACATAAAGAAGGATATTAAGTATTTCTTTCAAATAAAAAGCTAAAGCAGTACTAAATCTATCATTAAGTATATCTCTTTTATTATGTACATTCTAGCATCAGAAAAAAGCGAAAATAAAATTTCTTATAAAATATAAATATTTTTCACAATGAAACAATTTTTTTGTGTTTGATAGAATAGATTTTTATTTAAAATATACCGAAGACTCTTCTTTTATTTTGGATTAAAATAAAAACATGTTTATTATAATTCGATTATAGCTTGTTTCATTTTCAAGGCCTCTATTCTTGAAAAGTATCACATACGAAAAACTAGGGAAATACTATTATATGTTACGTACTAGTATATGTTACGTACACTATAGTATTTCTCTAGTTTTACGTATGCGATACTTTTCAAGAATAGAGAGCCTGGTTAGACATGATTCAATTTCAAATGTACAGTTATTGATATATTGATTACTGAAATACAAGAGATATATTTTATAAATTTATTCTATCGATTGCAAGTGTTGTTTGATTAAAAAAACATTCGCATTTTTTAATATAATTTGCACGAATTTTATTTATGTATTTTTTTCACTGTTGACGTCTAAATCCAAAATAGCTCCAATGAATAGGCAATAGCCGTTCGATATTTCAACGCGCTCGTCAGATATATAAAACGGCTATTTTTACAATTTTACCCATTCGGGCGTGTATATCGTCGCTTTCCTCGATCCAGCGTTTGATTTCCGCGACAGCGCTCTCTCTAGTCTCATCGGTCTCGTTCAAATATGTCGCTGCATACCTTTTATCCTCACTAGTTAACTCATGTCGATCGTAACACTTATTTACACTATCGTCGTAGCTAGATGCGTTTGCCATCATGCAAAGAACTTTATACACTGCTGCGAAGGAACTCAGCGAGCCGCGAATTGAGTAGAGATGAATAGTTACATATGGAATAAGATTATCGATAAACACGTTACATAACATAGAACTTCTCTCTTACGTAGAATCTATTTTTTAAATCACTTCGATGATATCAGCTATTAAAAATTTGTGTTATCATCATGCGCGCTTATATCATCATATCTATATATGCATGCTGGAAAAACTCTTAAACTTGAGAAGCTGCTTAGTTGTCAATATAAACGTCCTAAATACTTTACTGAACTAACAAATTTATTCGTTTCTCACATAACCATAGAATAGAATAGAGCAACTACCAACTTCTCGTTGTTGTTAGCGAATGATAGGACTGCTACAAAAGAGTAGTACATACTGACATGTTTTCTTTGTCTCTTGACGATGACGCTACATGACGATGATGTTTGCTACAATTACAGCTTATGTAAATTAAGAAGACAAAACACGTAATATTTAATAACTGCTGAAGAGAACTTGTAAGTTAAAGTCCAAAGAGGATAATAGCGTTTTTCACTAGGTCGCACTTAATGCGCACTAAAAACTCGTTCAGTGGCAGCAGCACTGTACGAGGTTGGCAAAAGTGCGAGTTTCTTATAATACCAGCTAAACACGTGTATCGACCTCAGTGCGTTTTATAGTGCACATTTTTTTAGTGCACATGATTTTTGTAACTATATTCTGAAATTAGAAGAAATATTTGTCAAAAATTTTGAAAAAAATTGTTATAAAAAAATATTGGTAATTTTCTGTTCCAGTTGGCACAAAATATAACTTTTGAACCACCATGTCCTGATTTCCCAAAAAATTTTTTAATAAAATTATTTCTCCGCATGCGTATTTATTATACATTATTGCAACATAATAAATCATGTAAAACAATTACTCGAAAGAATAGAAAACTTTTAAACATTTTACATTTATAATTCTTTTTAATTTGTTGCGTTTTCTATCTACAGCTTCATTTTCATAATATACTAATTGTAATTTATAATTTATGAGCTCATTATAATTATTGTAATTATTTTATTGCATTTTTTACAAGTTTCATTGGCTTTCTTTTTCTTTGGTTCATATCGAGGTGGATCGAGTAGCTGAGATACGATTCAAGAAGAGTTGGACAATGAAATGTATTTCATGGCATGAACTGTTATATATACGTTACTGTGTTTCACATCTTTCCTTAACTCAAATCTTATGTATGTTTATTAATTGTATATGCTTTATTTACTTTCAAAGTGCATCATATAATTACATTGTATGTTTACTAATTGAATGTTTTATTTACTTCCAAATTGCATTATACTACAATTACATTGTAAAACTTTCATGTAAAATATTTCTTTAATTGCGTATGCCTATCCTTGTAGATTGATTTATGACTTTCGACTTTACTTAGTCATCCTCAGCCATTAAAATAATAAGAGTAGTTATATAAGATTAAAAAGTTATTAACAAATTATTAAAAAATAAAATTAAATACTGAAAGAACATAGAAAAAGTCAATAAAACCATATTAAATGTTGGAAAATATACCATAGTAGATAAAAAAGTATTAAAAATTAAAAATAAAGAAAGTATTTTAGAAGGACTACGAGCCAATAAACAATTTTCAATACAAATATATATTTATTATAACAAACGTTTCTCGACCTCTTTATCGGGTCATCCTCAGTGTTAAAAAAATTAAGTCTTCTTTATATGAGAGTTGTTAAAACTTTCTTCGTTCAAAGACGAGAAAAAGTGGAGTAAAACAGATAAGATTTTTTTATGTCGTAAGATAAATGAAGTCAATGGTCAATAAAAATTCGATAGTTAAAAATCTTGAGGTATATCTATGTATAAATATAAATAAATTAAAAATATTACACCGAAAAAGGAGTTTAAAACCTATTTAATTTTTAAGAAATAAATTCTGTATTATAGATAGATTTTGTAGAAAGATATGTCTAAACGGTGAAAAGGCTTCCTGTTAGAGCAAATGCTTGTCGATAAATAATGGAAATTAAAAACAGATATATGTTATTATACATATATAATATGATGGACAAAAGATCGATACAAATTAATATTGTGAAAATGAATTTAATAAATAAAAATAAGAATTATCTAGTCTCTCAATGTCTTTCTGTAAATTAATTTCATTTCTTTGTTCCTTTATACTATATAACATTTCTGAAATCAATCTTTTACTATAATTAGACTCCATATCTAGAACCTTTTGTATTATCCCAATTAAATGATTAAAATTTAAAATGTGTTCCGTAATTACTGAGTGACTTGATGCATCTAATCTTATATTATTTCTATGTTCTTTTATTCTCGTTTTTAACTATCTCTTTGTTTATCTTACGTAAGACACCTCATAGTCGTTACAATAAACCTTATAAACGATATTGCTTCTTAAATCAGATTCAGTTGCATCTTTATGTACTTCAATAAAGTTACTCAAGTTATTCAAGTTTATTTAAGCTTCTATAGCCAATTTTTAAAACTGATTTATCTAGATAAGCTATCGCTGCTTCCGTAACATTATGTATATATGAGAGTACAAAATATTTCGTGTTACTATTAAAATCTGTATTAGAAGTACCCTCCTTATCATCGACATCCTTATTTTATGTATTTAAATGAAACAATTTTTTTAACCGAGAATCAATCTCCTTGAAAATTAATTTCAGAGGATACCCATTTTCTAAGAGTAACCGTATGCAAAGTTCAAGGTTTTCCCTATAAAAAATCGGATGAGATAATAATATTGCTCTATTCACAAGGTTACAAATGGTTCCGATTTTATAATAAATTGGATGATTAGGAAAAAATGATAGAAACCTCCCCAAAAATGTTTTTTTTGTGAAACCAGTTAATAAATGATCTCATCATTTTTGACAGTCAACGAAAGGTCTGAAAAACTTATTCAACGAATTCAAAATTCTCTTCCCTTTCTACCGTAAACTGTATGCATTCATGAAAACTATTGAAAGTACTAACGATATGAGTAATATATTCGGAAGGTGCCGTCATTATAATCTCATCTACATAACTCTTTATTATTTTAATGACTAAGTGAAGCCGAAACGTTCCATTTATTAATTATTGTAAAAAAATTTTTTAATCTTTTATGATATAGATTAATGTCTTAATAAATATTTATATTATATTATTTTTTCAAGCTCATGTTTAATCTATCTTCTATTCATTTGTATTTACATATTCGAGCAAGAAAATTATATTATATTAATAACATTATATATATAATTATACATATATACTATCTACTATCCTCCCAAAAAGTTTTATATTTTTTCAAAGTTTTATATTCATTCTTTCATATTGTACTACTGATAAAATCTTAGTGATAAGAGAGAAAAACGATAATCTGTTTTTCTCACAACTCATATAAAATTGTTAAAGCGTAATCAATAATATCTTTATCCAAGCATACTCGTATACCAAAAACAAATATTTTCTGCTAATTCTACATTCACTGTTCCAAAATATTATTCAATTTAGTTATTCTCACCTCTTGTAATCCAGTCGCGATTCTCTTCGATCAATTTCTTCCAATATTCTGTAAAAATAATGTTTATATTACATATATTAAATTAAATGCTTATGCTAGTCTTGTTAAAATATAATAGAAGTAATAAAACAAGTATTTCGTGTATATTTCAAAATACTATAAATTCTTAACTTTTACGATTATTATCTAAATAATTGCTTGTCTTAACTGTGAAAAATTCATTTTTTTGTTCTGTAATACTTGATTGGCGAGAAACATCGTTTATTATCCACTTAAAGCGTCATATTCATTTCATTTTAATTTATCATAATTACCTAATAATTCCTGAATTGTACCATCAGTGCCACCATACTCGATTGGCAAGATATTAGCTGGAACATCCTTAAAAAAACTGGGCAGCATGTATCGATTGATGTGAAATCTATTGCTCATTTTCTCCGACATGAAAGATTTAAGAATTCTGAAACCACTCTCTACAAACATCGGTGCATTAACTACGTTTATCGACTGTATTCTTATAGGATAGCAGTTCTGACATGTGTGTGCTATTTTCTTTAATGCAGAAGGTCCAAATTGAAAAAAGTGATATATAGTTGGGTTAATCGCGTCATTGATCAATGTGCAACCATACACAGACGCTGATGCGGCTATGGCGCGATTCTTCATCGCCAGCTCCATCAACATCGCACTGATCTGAAATGATTATTCGTCGAGAAATAATGAGCACACTAATCAAAAATATTTTTTCATGACAACATCAATATCAAACATATTATTAGTAAGTTATTTGCAATCTTAATGCTGTTTTAATTTTTACCTTAATTATATCTGATAATTTGTGTATTCTCGGATTATGTAAAGTAGTGCGCATAATGATGACCAATCTGCCATGACAATCCGGTTTCCGCAAGGGTAAAAACAAGCTAAATACAAATAAAGTATTTATTTCAGAAATCCTTCGAATAAATTAACATTTACCATTACAACGATATGTATAATTGTGTCTGGAAGATCTTATTTATTTGTAAAATATTTAGTAAAACATGTTTGTTAAATAATAATAGGAATAATAAAACAAAGTTGATAAAGACTTAGGCAATTTGACATTAAAATTAAATTTGTCATTATTAAAGATTTATTGTAAAGTTATCTGCAGCTATACAGGGTGGCCCACGTAAAGCTAATAACTCTAAAAACATTTGTCTTATCAAAAAGTTGTTCATGAGAAAGTTTTATATATTCGTGGGGCTCGTGGGATCTAAAAAAAGAGTCAGTGATAATAATTATTACAGGGCGAAAGTTTCTAAAGTTACACGGTAAATTATGAGATGTGATATTTTACCGATTATGAGGTATAATATTTTACCGATAATAATAATACATTAGGTACAAAAGAAATTTTCTTTAAATTGTGTATTTATATACTCATAAATGGTAATTTTTACCCCATATTAATTAACTCTTGTAATTCCGGTTGAAACGGATCTGTATTTGTAAACCATTCAGGTAAGTCAGATCGCAGCTTATAATAGTTTCGCATCCTGGTTTTAGTTTTCTCGAGACTGAACTTACAGACTCTCAAGAATCGCAAGATAAGGAAATCATCTGTATACAGATTAGCTTTGATGAATTCGCTTCAAATAAAAAGCTACTAACTAATGCTAAATTTATCGTTAGATATTACAAATTAGGCTGTAATTTGATAAATAGAAAGTATATGTAAATAAAGTTGATTGAAAAATTGATTGATACATAAAATGACGAAATGCGATAGTGCGATAATGAATTAATTTTTTATATAGATCTTTTATCAAGTCATTATTTTTTGTTGTTATCATTATTTCAGATTATTATTGTTTTTTTTTACAGTCACAACTTATTACATTATCTTTATTGTTTTTCATCTTTTTTTTTATTACGCAATCAAGACGGATAAATTCCATGAGATAAGTGTCAAACAAAAACATAGCAAGAAGGGCAAAATGTTAAATAAAATATTTCACAACACACCCAAGCAGAACAACAAGTCATTATGATATCAAAATGATGTCAAAATGATCATTAAAAGTCATTTTTCCGGACTTATAAACGCAATTAAACTACTGGAATAATATCACGAATTAAATTAAAATTGATAAGTAATTCTTAATAATTTTTGATACACAATCAGCATCATATTAACAAGATACTTAAAACATTTGACTGGATATTTATTTCGATTCGTAATATTAAATTAATAACAAGTATGTAATGTTATATTTGAGCGATTATTTTTATTATTTATTATTTATTTGATTTTATACAATGACATTGTAAGGGGGTTATAGAAATATTTATCACTAAAAAAGACTTTGTAAGTCGAAACGTCTGAATTTATATTATTGTACTTATTTAATTAAAATCGATTTTTATTTTATAAACCAACTACTATTGCTCGTTTCATAAAAAAGTCTTGATATCATTATTGCGTAATAAATCATAATTGAATCTTTTTTTTTCATTGAGTAATTTTCACGCATAAGATTACTGTTATTTTTACCAATTTGTACGTGCATTTCGTCATTGATCCAGCGTCTGATCTCCGCAATAGTGGTCTTTCTAGTCTCATCGGTTTCGTTCAAATGTGTCGCTGCATATTCTTTATCGTCACTAGTTAGCTCGTGCTGAATATGATACTCTATGCTGTTATATTTGTGTTCATTCACCATTGTGATGATAATAAGTAGAAAGCTTCCACTGAAGAATCGTCTTCGAGCCGCAAAGATAAGATACAAAGATACACGTTTATGTGTAAGATATGGACAACGATAAATAACAATCAAGTGTTTATATAACACTTTAAGTAACGCGGTACAATATATACTGTTAAAATTCACGTGCTCTTTTGGAATTTATGTCGTTTTCGATTCGGGTGTACTGGCTACACTCAGTGTCAAAAGCGTGTTCGATTGGCAGTCCCAATGCGCACTTGGCTAGTGTCACGTGTTCATTTGACCGCACGACATTCGTGTAATTTAAGTGGCACGAGATATTTTGACGGTGCCAGTTCAGTACATTGAATATCAATGCATCGTTTTGTCACAGTATAAAAGGATATACAGTAGGGACAATTAAATCTGTAATTTATAACATGCAAATATGTACAATTATTGATAAGTATGTACATATATATATATATGATATTCTTGATATCTTATATATTATTTAATTACATATAGTAAAAAATCATTACTTAAAGTTATGAACATGAGATCGATGAACATCGAAGTTATTTTTTTGCGTTCTTCCTGCAGTCAAGTCAAGTCCTTACAATTTACAACTCTAAATGGCACTTCAGCTTTAGCACTGAAAATCTTGGTGTGTTCTTTTGAACTTGCACTATTCAGTGCAACCCATGGAACTCGTCCAGCATTGGTGTGAACTAAGTGCGCACTGGTACACACTAACTTTTTCCCAATCGAAAAAACGATATTGGTCAATTTCATTAGAGTCACTATAAGGCCGGAATCAGACTACGCATTGAATATTGAGATTGAAGATTGAAAGATTGAAGTTTGACCAATCAAAACAATAGGAGTTAAAATTCCTTCGTCCTCACTGGTCAAATTTTAATCTTCAATCTTCAATCTCAATCTTCAATGTGTAGTCTGATTCCGGCCTAATAAGAACCACTGACAAGATAGTAGACAAATTGAATATTTTTGATTTATTTATGTCTATATAATTTAGGAATCGTTTGAGGAAATTTGGGAAAAGCATTTAAACATTTGGGAAATAGTATTTTTCTTGTAATTAACAAATTTTATCATGCGTCAAGTTAGCAGATAGCGATTTTAATTAATGTGTTTTATGAATGGAATCGATTAGAAATTATTTGGGGAAGACGTCTTCATTATTATTTTCATTTGGGAAAAGTCATTATTTGGTAATTCAATAGATTTATACATTACGAAATATATATACATATCAAAATGTGTAACAAGGCATAAATGTATTCTTAAATAATTTGTAGAGTTATTGTATAAATAATTAATTAATTGAAATCGTTTTTTATTTTTTTATTGTTTACAAATTATTACGTAACAGAATAGATAAATTCTATAATTTTAGCTTTGCCATTTTTTCGTTATATGTCTTACATCTATATCCACAAACATCTTTCTTTTTGAATGTATATAAAAAAGTATATGTCAAATGTATGTCAAAGATATAAGTACGACGAAAAATTACGTTACATTTCCAGCTCATATTTTATATTGAATGGTGTGTTGATTATATTAAAGATATTCTTTTTTTAGAACTGAGAATGAGTTGTACAAAGCAATTTAAACAAAAAAGTTCTATAAGGTTGTCGTTTCACCAAAAATAGGTAATATTACCAATGTGCAACGCATGCGGAAAAATTAAATTACATTAATTAGAATGATACGTTTCTTAAGAAGTCGTTAGTTTTTACTTTATTTAATTTAATTATATAAGACATGATTGAAGTAAACAATTAATTGTTTTAAGAAATGATATTTGCAGCACAATGTCCTTTGATGAAAGTTACTCGATTTTAGAATTTTCCTATTACTGCGCAAAAATTGTGTCGCTCTCTCGCAATACTTCTTTATCATGAAATGCAGTGTCAAATACCTCTTGAGAATTGCATGATAAATCTTGTCAATTAATAAGTTAATCATCTTTAGCAATTTAGTGCGTGTTTTCTTCTCGTTTTGCCAATCATAAAAGTCAATTAGTTCATACTCATTTATTTCATACTCGTTGTCGTCATCCATTCCGAGCTCATTATTTGCTGGAATTACGTTGTCAATACAAATGATGAAATCTTCTCGAATATCATTCTCTATTATTCCACTAAGAAGTAGATCGCGCAAACGTAGCATCCTTTTATATTGAAATTGCACCTACACGTGAGATAAAACAACGTGCTGATTGCGAAGAATTTAATATTCAAGAAAAGAAACGAAATGTACCATGTATTGCAAAAAACATTGTAACTATGAATATGGGGTATATAATTACATCATGTGATTATATAATCAAATTAAAAGAGAATCTTCAAATTATTCTTTAAGTATTATTTTTTTAACTATAATTCCTCAAAAATTCACAAAAGAGTAAAATAAGAATTACTTAAAAAAATTATGTACCAGATTTAGAATTGGTCTTCATCATTATTTCATTATAACATAAGAAATCCAATAATGCTGCACCTTTTATTCTATCCTGTTTTTTACATACTTATTGTTAGAAAAAGAAATAGAACTCTACCGCGTTTGTCTATCAACAGTGTCATGTACTGCTCACAGGCAAAAATTAGTATTTCATTTTTTCTCCAATATTGCTATCATAATGGTGTACAATATTGGCAATGCATTTTTATTAACTTTATTGACGTACATTGTGAATGTACTGAGCCAATTTTGCTATTTTTTAACTTTATAGTTGATATTAACAAAGTCAATATTAGCTAAAAAATTAAAAAAGGAACAAAATTGATTCAGTATATCCACAATATACAACCAATGTTTAATACGTTTGCTACTACGCGTTACATATGTGACGTCGGTTTGTTTCGAGAGCTCGGCATCACATACATATGACATCGTTAATTTGCCATTTTACGATCATGTAAATAAACATGACAGATTGTGTGACATATTGTGTAAAAGTATTGCGAGCAAAGCTTGGGCTGTGAGGTCGATTTTTTCAATCAGACCGTAGCAGCGAATGTGTTAACGAATGTATCGTCAATAAATCGTACAACTAAGGGAAATGCAGCTGTAAATCGAGACACAGAAGTACAATACGTCTTTATCAAATTTAAAAACAATCCTCATGTTAAAAAATTTGTAATTTTAGAGAATGATATATTTTTGTAATTTTTTTTTCTAAGTTGCAATATCTTTCACAGAAGCTATAGACGAATTTGAGTTCCAATGTCTTACCTTTCCGAAAACGTTTAAAGTTTTTCGTAAAATCATATTTTTTGTACTATTTGGCGTGGTCCAACTTATCATATTATTTACCATACCTAGGTATCCTATACCCTCACATATAAAACGATCGAAATCTATTTTGTCGAGCAACTAACCCAAAACACATAAGTATTAAACAAATATGCCACTACTATTTGCTATTTATAATGATACTCACCTGAAGATTTTTATTCTTCTCAGCTTTGTAATCCTGAGATTGTTCCATCTCTAGGAGTATTAATATGCTTGAAAAAAAAATGCATATCGTAAGTCTTATAAATTACTTTTAACAATAATTATTAAATTTCAATAAAATAATTTATAATTTAAATAGAATATAAATCTAATTCTCCGGAAGATATTTATATAAAATTAATGGAGCTTTACAATTTTTTGAATTAATTTGATAATAATTTGTATATATACCTCATATATCCTATATAATTTTTTTCAATACATATACTAATATTCTACATCAATTTATTTACAGAATTTTATTGTGAATTCTATTACAAATTCGTCTAAATTTACACGATTTATCTATTACAGACTAGTAAGTTTTAATATTAAATATTATAGTAACACACAAACCTTCTTAGATTGGCATAAATTTCGCGCGAGCGTTCAACTTCAATCTCTGTGTTTAACCGCGAGCATAAAATGTAGATCATGATTATGTTCCTGTTTTAAGAACTAAAGAAACGCGAAATAATCACTATTCGTACGTGTACAAGTGCAATGACTGACATACACAAAATTTTTAAACAGATCAGTATTAAAACAATTGTAACAACGCGATGATGTTTAATATAAATCGTCTTGTGTATCACGCGACTCGAAGCATAACACGATAAGTATCTAAACTTTATCATTTCATCTTCATATTTACCCATTCGAAAGGTCATAATTGTAAAGAACATTCGGCAAAAATGACTCTTTTCTCTTTTACAAATTTTCGCCTGTGTTTATACGAAAGACACGATTTCGTTGAGATTCAACTGTCCAGTAAATATTCGAAAATAAATTTATCTTACGAATAAGATTGCCAGAAATGATTTAGAATAAGAGACCGTGGCGCGTGTCCAACGATGAATTTTTTTCTTCTTCAGCTTTTACACTTTATTTTGATAAAAAAAGAAGGTGAGTAAATCAAAGTAAAAAAAATAACTTATATTATTATGCAAATATGCTTAGTTAAATATTTTAAATAATATATGTTAATTAAATTATCTGTCAATTTTTGTTTATAAAAATATTATACTTTAATTTCTGTGGCTACTTAATTTCGATTGTATAAATACTTTTATATTATACAACCAATTAGAATTGAATTAAAAATCTAGGGTATATTTGTATAACAAAAAGTTGATTTGATCGGACAAATCTTTGCAAACAATTATAAATTTGGCGCGATTGTGGAAGAAAACCTTTCTTGTAGCATATATAACACTGATAACACATGACTGGGATCTAAATAAATGCAAAATGTCATTCCAGATGTAATGGTGCGACAAGACACGTATATGCACAGACTATCAAGCGAGAACTTGAAGTGATTGTAACAATAACAATGACAGATTGATCACTTCAAAAATCGATGCATAGCGTCGTCTTCCCGAAATGTTTATATGTATTTAAGCTATGTTTACCCGAAAATCATAATCGAACCTGGTGAAAAAAATTTTTCTTATAATTTTTATACGAAATGGAACATTTTTTAGAAATACTTAAAAATATTCGGAAAGTTTACATCTTCTCTCAGAATTTTTCATATATGTGAATTCTGAAATATTTTGAGATTTCTCATTCCGTAATTTTTAAAAAATATTTTTAAATTTTTTAGATTTTATAACATTTCATTAGAAATTATACTTATAAAAAATCTTAAAAATTTTACGATATTTCATAATTAACATATATAGAAAATGCTGAAAAAAGATGTAGATTTTCTGAGAAGTGTTCCAATTCGTATAAAAAATGTGAGAAAATTATAAAATTCTATAGAAATTGTGATAAACTATAATAAGAAAAATTTTGAGAAAAATTTTCTCAGGGGAGCTATATTCGCAAAATATAACAGTAACGCTTTCTTTTGAAATATTAATAAAATTTAAAAGTTTTATCATTCATAGACCGATTTTCCGAAATCTATCTTCTATGAAACTATTATTTCATTTAAAAAATTGTAACATTTGTTTCCATAATTATTGCGCGTAATGTCAGACAAAATATTTATTTAAAATCTTAACTTTTTCTACATATGCGTATCGATTTTCTTCCGATGTTGATATTTTTTACGTTGTAAATATGTAATTTTTAAATCATTATTTAGTTTACTCCAATATTTTCTTATAACAGTAGTATATAATAACAAAATTAGTTATGCAATATGAATAAATAAATGAATAATTTTATTTCACCGTCAATCTCATCTATATTGACATATAGTAATGTAAGAGTAAAGAGAATATTAATAGATACACGATACGAAAATTGTAAATTACATCAATAAAATTAATATGCCATACCATCATGATATAGTCAAATTAATGACGATGAGGACAAAGCAGCATCTGGTTGCGATAACATTATCACGTTGTTGTACGCTTCTTTCAAGTTTTCCGTTTCAACTTCTTTCGCGAGCAATCTAGAGTGATTAGAAAAAAGACCAAATTTCTATCGTAAGATTGTAACCGCGTTTATAATTATTAAATTGATTTCTTTTTACCATTGTCAAATACAAAAAACATACGGTGGAAAAAATTATTAAATATCACAAATATGTGAAATGGTTGCAAAAAATACATGTCTTACAATTCCTCGCAGTTAATTTTTAATTAAAATATAATTAAAATAAATAAATTTATTTTAGAATTTTGATCGAGTATGCAAAATATCAAGGGAACGAACTTGTCGTATAATTGTTTGACGACGTTTACTAATACTCGCGCCTGGGTAACATTGAAAAGTATTAATTCCGGAATGGAACCCTGCAAAAAATTTATAACGTCTCGGCTGATCTGCTCGAGTCTAGATTTTGAGATGTTCGATAGTGCTTCTTGATGTAAAAACATATCATTCAATTCTAATTCCTTCTTCAATGTGTTTACTTGCTCCTGTAATCGTTGCACGATCAATTCTATCCGTGGCTGGATGTGACGTATTGTCTTGATCGGTTTCAGTTTTGCGATTTTAGCAGTAAGTCGCATGGTCGACAAAGTGACTCTGAGATCTTCTCTCGTGATGCGCACGTGAGATATGAAGCTGATGAATAAGGGAAATGTTCAGATTTTAATTAATCTTAAATAAAACGTCATAAATATGAATTTTAAGCCAAGTTAGAAATTTAATAGGAAATATAAAAGTTTGAATAGAGTATTAAAAAAATAGCATTTTTATTTATTGTTATTTTTATTAAATATTATAGAATCATGTTTTTATTCAATGCTTAATTTGTCTTTATGTCCATATTTATCTATATTTGTATAAATATTTATATAGATATTTATATAGATGTGTGTGTGGAAAAAGGACGAATATATTGTAGTTTAGATTAATATAAGAAAATTTGCGCTACTTCTGTTTCAAATTTATATTCATTATGTAATTACCGAATGATAGATGTGACAGTGAAAGCATCTCTCAGTAGCTTCAGCAAATTACTTGAGCGAATAACGCTATATGTGCACATACTTGATTTTCTAAGATGCAAAAAATATTGTTCCAGCTGCATTTTCATTAAATTCGCCATACCTAAGTCGGCTGCTGTTTTCCGGCAACTCGATTTTCCCACCGTACCAGTTCCAGCCATCTCTACGATATGTATCTAATATCGATCCGTAAAAACAAACTCGTAATTTTTCTTTCGAGATATCTCTCAATCAAGGTAATTTCTTTGAAAATTTAGTTACATATATATATCACGAATATTTATTATTTAAAATATTTATATTTAAACGTAATATATTTAATTTATATATTTCAAATAATGATTCTATATTTAAATATGTTATATCCATACCCAATATTTAAATATAACATATTTTAGATATTTTAACATTTTAATGAAACAATACAAAAAGTTCTTCCTATTAATCTATAAATTATCATGCGAAAATATTTAAAACATAGGAAGTTTCAAGATTTATTTTGAAAGATGTCGAATTCGCAATTACTTTTGCTGTCGCTACGATAGCTTGCGATTTTATCAAACTCGCATTTGAAACGTGAATAGTGATCACAGCAGCACCTAAATGTGATACCGGATATATTGTGCTTCTCACAATTGATCTTCTGCCTTCTCCTTCAAGTACTTTTTTCAAAGTCTCTTTTTCATTCTCTACATCTACTATAATTACATTCTGAAACCGTAATTGTTGCTGATTTCGTATGTTGACACGTATGCAGAATAAAAGCTGAGATACTCTAAATAAATATAAGAATTCTGGGAAATCGCAAAAGTAAGTATTTTCTTAATACAACGTTATTCCTCGTAAGTAACATAAAAGCTATCCGAAAATTTAACATAAGGATACAAATATTTCATCTCGATACCTTAAAGACACTGCGTTCGTTGACGTTAAAAATCCTTCGTTTTTGCGTCAGAAGATCTATTACGTTTTTACCTCTCAGCTCGATGAAACTTAAACGATAACGTATGTCACTGATTTTTCTTCGGTTCGCCTTTTCCATAAACATGTCGGATAAAAGTCGCGAGACTATTCCTCTATGCTAAATCAATGAGTGAAACGATCAAAATAATTGATTGAACGATAATCTAAATAAAATTATGCAAGATATAAAGCGTACTTCCCAATTATTTCTGAGACCGCCAATTGTGAAACTTTTCCCAGATCCTGTTTGTCCATAGCCGATCAGTACGCAATTTACGCCGTCTAAAGCTCTTAAATTATTCCTTTGTTACGAATGTCATACATGTTTTGTTACTTTTATAGACATTGCATGATATTTCATATCTTATCAGCGATATCGGTAAGTAATATTAATTATCGATTATTATTCAGTAATATGGCTGCATCCTTTCTAATAAAATACGTAAAATCATACTAATCCTCAATAATCTAAATGTTTTCATTACAATCAAAAAACATTTTTTATATCCTCTATTTTGTTAAGAAAATACTGTCAATTTAACGTAAGGCACTCTTATTACTCTATCCTCATACATGCTATCATGCCAAATCATATGTGACGAACGTTAAATGTTTGCTTTCAAAAATTAATTTAATAATTTTATTACGCATTTTTGGCAACGTTAGATTAATACACAAATTAACTTACTTTCCGCATATTAAACAATATCAAGTTAATTAATTATATCGCTGACGCATTATGGAATATCATCACGGCAATTAAAATATTAATCAATACTTTTTTACAAGATCTTTCGCAGTAGTGCAATACACCTTATCCTGGGACATCTCGTGAAATATCCCATCAATATGGAAGGCCCAATAAATAGGATGTCTTGACTGTTTGTCTCGTTGGATATCTTGCAAGCATCTCACGTATATCGTCTAAATGACGACATTATGATAATTTAATTAATTATAATGCGTTAATTGACAAAACGTACCGAAATGAACGAGACATCTCAATAAACAATAATAATAGCATTAAGAAGATAGTAAAGTTCGTGAGAATACATTCTACGCTAGCGGGATATAATCTTTTCTCAGCTATCGGAATAGTCTCGGTTTAAATAAAGAAATTTACATTAATCTCACCTTACCATCCGTACTGATCTTTGCGCAAGAATCGCACGATTTTTCAAGTGGTAGAATTCGCACAAAAACCTTCACATTACTGTCGTATACCTCATCAATCGACTCGTCATCCGACATAGAAAAGTTCGTTTGATGCATTCTTTTATTTTCAACATTCTCTCAATATCGTGGATAATTACAAGATGGCAAGGTTAATCCCTTCTGTGCACTCTTAATTATAGCGCTGAAATTGTCTAGAATTCAATTTCTGTCATTTCAAAGTATCGCATACAAAAAAAGAAGTAAAACAGCTTTACGCGAGCGCGAAATTATGTGCGAAATATTTACAGAAATTAAATACGTCGTCGTGAGTATGAATTTACAAAACCCTTTATTTCATAGCGTTTGTGTATATAAATTATCCATAATTAAAACTTCAATTTTAGCAAAGGGCAACGGCAAACTCTGAAAGGATATCGAAAAAAGAATTGAGTGTCCGACCATGGTGGAAGTATACTTCCACCATGTGCCTGACGACGCTACAAAGTCACCAACATCACTACTACATACACAATACGATTATTATTATGCGTATGACATACATACAAGTATTACAAAATAATTGCTTATGAAAAGTACGTCGAACATCATCACTGCAAATTAAATAACTCGACTTAACTAAGAATACAGAAAGAAAATCTATTGATTCACGCAAAATCGGAGGGGCGGGGGAAAGGTCGTGCTGCTGATTTCGAGTAACAAAAAATAATTTCTAACGTGCATTTAATTTTATCTAAACGTACGAATGGTTTACCTAAATCACTAACAAGAGTGACGTATTTTTAATCTGTTACATTAAATTGATATTTTTTTTCTAAACTCAAAACTCAAAAGATTATGTCGCAATGTCATTTGTGCATATTTCTGACTAAATTAGTGATTCCTAGATCACTCTTTTTCCTCATAAAGTACAAAATCGTGAGCGCGAGAGTGTTCATAAATTCTTGTTGCTGGAAAAAAGTTACGTATGTATTATATCACGCGCGTACCTCGCGTTTTACACGCAAGTTTTATACACGAACTCGAGCCTTCTCGAAGCACACGTAAGATGTGCAAAAAATATCGTTTCTGCAATATATGGTTACAGATACAGTCGGTAATCATGAAACATTAAATATTTATTTGCAAAAATAAAATTCATCAGCTACAAATCGATTCAATGAATAGTGATTTAATTTTTCGACAATATGAAAACTTGCAAAATTTTCTTTTCTCGATATTGTTAAGATATTTTTGCAAGAATCTTATAGGAATCTTACAAGATTCTAGCAAGCTCTTTAAAAGTTAGATTTCGATTGTTTGCTTGTCTTCTCGAGATCTCATGTACCGAAAACACGGAAACATATTCGATGGTTACGTCACGGACGGGCCAAATGCTTTAAATCGAAGACGTAGATGACAAAACACATTTTGTTAGCGTGTGAAATTCGTATGTGAATTTATTATAAGGAAATTACAAAACCGCAGATTAAAACATCGTACAAAAGCTCCGCTTCAAAAATTTCTCGTCTTTCGCAAACAGGTCTGCTCGCATATGTGGTCCCTCCCTCCAGCTACTGCTCGTAGTCGGCGACGAGACGGTGGGCGTCAGCATCGATACTTAACTCTACTATCGTTACCGTTTAGATCACCACCGAGATGACGATCATTACAATTGCCTCGCGATAATTAAAAAAGGAATCGATCGACATCGCCTTATTATTTATGTAATATTTAATCGCGTTCTGTTTCGAATTTACTGGACATGACGCACATTTCCTCCTATGGACCGTAACAAATCACAGCATTAAAACTTGCTCGTCTGCAATACAACAAGATTCCTATACCTCGTATAAACAAAACGAGTTCTGCAGCATTTTCGAGATTGTTCTCATCATTAGGATAAATCCTGATCCTTTTCCATTGATAAATCTTGCACTTTCCTTACCGACACCTCCGTACAACAAACATACTCTGTCTCTCTCGCTCTCTCTCTCTCTCCCCCCCCTCCCCCCTCTCTCTCTCTTGCTCTCGCTCTCATTCTCGCCTCCATTCTTTTCATTCTAACAATAATTATAATTTCTGATAAATACTATTCAAGCTATGCCTAAGAACTATTGCAAATAGAAACGTATTAGAAACGGTATAAAATGGACATGTTTCGTTCATTTTTTTTCTGTTCCTTTCAACAACTCTATGTTATATATGATAGATTCCTTTCTTCTATCTCTTTTGCTCTTTTTTTAGCTTTCCCTTTTCCTAAGCATATAATGCGTATTATTTATATCTGGCATACGCAATTTTTGAGAAGTACACCATATAGTAAGGGGGTTTGGGGGAGTAAAAGTGCTAATATATAATACAAAGTGCTAATATTATAAATCGGGACAATCGAATTATGTGCTGCGTGTAACTGTTTTTAGGCTCGATCGCCCACCGGCTTGTTCAGTCTTTCTTGCGTCTCTAGCTTTTCTCTCAGCGGAGATTCAACCGTGACAATCCTGATGCTGACACACCCGGAGTCGTGTCCTTCATTCAACAGCGACACGGGACATTATCAAGCCCCGCCTGGTGAGCAAAACACTACAATAAAATAAATGAGATTACCAAATAAGTCAATATAACAGTCGAAAAGAGTAAAACACATAATTACAAATATAACAATCCTAAGTTATAAGATACTAAAATTGGTCAATTGTAGAATCAATCACGATTTAATTAATATTGATAATATGACATACCGTAATAACAAGATATAATATAAGATAAGATTAATAATGATCGTAAATATTTGATTTGGATTTTTTTGAAATATGCATTGTCAGCATTGAAATCAGCGATTTTAACGTTTTAGAGATAAAAATAAAATTTTTTAAATATATTAATATTACATTTTGATTATCTTACCCTAGACCGGTTCCAATGAGCAGAGACAGAAGATTCGTGAAGAATAGAGTATAAATGACCTCCTTGGAAAACAATCCGTTTTTGCCAACCTTCGCGGTGCGGATGCTGTATGTTTTCCTCTTACTACCCAAGGGGTGTTTGAACTTCCAATCTCTGAAACGAGAATGAGATCATTAAATGTAAGTAAAAATTTTATTCGTCAACATTACTCGATGTGAAAAAAAGTCTCTTAAGTCAAAATTAATCCTTTATAAAGTAATATCTATAGCTATTTTTCCATACTTTATACACTGTAAAAAATAAAAATGTTAATTTTAACTTAAAGACATTTAGTGGATTTTCTGAGACACGCAAAAATGTTAAAATTAACACAAAAATATTAATTTCAACATTTTTGCATGTCTCAGAAAGTCCACTAAACGTCTTTAAGTTAAAATTAACATTTTATTTTTTACAGTGTACACACACTCGGCTCTAATAGTAAAAAATTATAAAAAAAGACAATTAAATATAATTATTTATATATTTAATTTATTAAAATTTCGTTTATCATACTTTGGAGGCGCCTGGTCCGGTCGAGAGCTCCATTCGTAAATCCAGTCTGTGTTCTTCTCAAGAAGCTCGCCCTCCTGCGAAGTAGAACAAAGTACGTCTTGTTAAGAGAATAATCGAGTAATTATTTCACGGTTATCGTGCCGCGCAACAAAACAAGACAGACTCCAAATTAATCATTCCGGTTACGAGAAGTTCAACGGGGTGGGAAAGCAACGAGGAATTAATCGCACGGAGCACTCTCTATATCTATGAATGGTAATCGCGTCGCGTGAAAAAGTGAATGCTCAAGAATGACCTTTGGCGTTCCGCCAGTGTTGCACATATCTACTATATGTCGTATATCGGATCTGATATGCGCAGTATATTGCAAGTTGTGCGCATAAACGCCAGCTGTAAACAATACTCGGACGAGACGATCGCTCAGGAAGGTGTGAATTGATTGTGTAAAGAGGAAAGGGGGAAACCAGGACGTGACGCGAGTTACTCGGAGCCTCCTCCGTATCGAGGAGAGATTTAAATGTTTGATGAGCTATTTCTCTTCTGGAACGAGAGACTTTTAGTCGGTTCTATTTCAAACTGGGTCATCGATTTAATACGCAATATGACAGAACAAGAACGCGCAAAGATAACTTATGAGTCACACGATTTATACGCACGCAGAGTATCCGTTAAAAACAGCGTCCGTACAGTTCCCGTGTTTACTCTCTGTTATATATATAATCTGTTATATATAATTATATATAATTACAGTATAATTCATTATCCGTTTATTGTTGAGGAAAAAACGCTAACGGAAATCAAATGCCGATGTTTTCGAATTAAATCGGCATTTGGCGCGTATAAAATTGAGCTTTGTATTATTATCTTCTTACTTCTTCTGCTGGGGCTAACGATGGACAAACTCAGCTCATTATGTATGTATATACAAGACAATGTCCGGTTATAAGAATCAACAGATAAGTCCAATCTTCTTAATGACGCGACGGTAACCGCGTGGCCGTCTCTATACTTACTTAGACGGTAGCAATTTGCATTTCGCTTGACTTATCGATATGAATTGTAATTTATGCGAAAAGAATATTCTGTAATTAACTTATATCAATGAAATATTGATAGACATTTATCTAAGCTAGTCGAAAATCGAAGTTCATTCTCTCTCTCTCTCTCTCTCTCTCTCTCTCTCTCTTTATCTCATTAGTAGAAATTTATTTTATTTCTTTTTGTAACTTTACTACGTTTTACATTTCGCGTTTCGGATTGTTTCCGAAATGATATTTCTCCGAAATGATTTATTAAAAATAAACCTGCTTCCACGTGCCATTGTTCTTTGTGCCAATGTCAGAACATTTACGATCACTTTATCATTGTACTTTATTATTGCTAAGATAAAGTTTAATCCCTCAATGATTCACCAGTGCTATCAATCAACGCAAAGATTGCGCGTGCAAATGCACGACGCGACTCGTATAACTTCATCAGAATCATTACTTTTCCGATTATTATTGAACAACGATGATCAGCTAACAGAATAGCAACGATCGGAGAACAGATTGTTCTCGGATTGCTGCGGATTGCCTTGACGCTCGCTGTATCGTTTTCGCATTCCGATCAGAAGCATGCGAAGTACGGATGTATATCGAGGAAACATTGTTGCATATAAATTCATCGAGGTCCAATGTATCAAGAGAGATCGATAAACCCACGAAGATAACTCCAATAATTCGAACATTTGCCGCCGCGAGTTCTCCAAGCAACGATATTTATTTCAAACGTACATCTGCTTGACACTTACGACATTATTTACTTAAAAATCCGCAGACCGCAGATATGATAAAATATGTAAATAATAAATTAAATTTTATTAATATACAATTGCATACCGTGCACTTAATGAATATATAAATTATAAATTAATAATAATATGTAAATTAAAATATAATATTAATATAATATAATATTAATATAAAATATAATATAAATATATAAAGTACTAAAATATAATTAAAATATATATAGTACAAATTAAAATCTCTTTAAAGATATACAATTATACATCATGCGCTTAATTATCTTAAAACTTTATCTTAAAACACTTCGTGATTTTTAATGGACTTTTTATAAGAAAAAACAGCGGCCTTTCGTGCGACAATTACGCCGCGTACACGCAACTCAACGCAACTATAACGCGACAAACGCACGAAAAACTCGAAAATCGATATACATACTCGCGTGTGGAAGTTTTTTATGTGTCGTCGGTTTCTTAATTCAAAGCACGCATCACGCTTCTCGATTATGAGAAGCGTTGTGCCGTTGTCGATCGATCGTGAAAAGCCGCATGTCGCCGTTATATCTTCTACGCTTTTACGCTGTAAATATAAATAATTTTTACGGCTGTATTTGCTTTTCATTGCTTGCCTTGGATCCCTTGAGTCGCGCGTGTCCATTATACGCCATCAAGACGACAACGATGAAAGTGCAATGCAATATAAAATTAAAATACAATTCAACATCTAATGCGACATCTGGGTCTCATTGTAAAGTAAACTGCAATTTCTCGTTCCTGAGTTAGTAATTATTCAACAATTATTAGCAAGAGTTATTATCAACAATTATTAATAAAATTTACTTTATTTAAATTTAAGATTAATTTATCGCTGAAAAAAAATGTATTGATATATTTTATTTATTAGGGATTTTTGAACTGATGAAGACTGTTTTAGAAATGTTTTCATTTTATATTCTTTTAAATAATAAAAAGTTAATGTATTATTTTAATACGAAATTTATTCGTATTTTGGTCGTCCTTATTTGGCATTTTTGCTGTGCAAACTAACGAGCTTACTTTCTATTCTTCTTTATTTTATTTATATTATATATATAATTATATCGATATCGTATATACAATTATTTTTCAACTCACTACTTGCTATTCTTTTTCTTTAAGTTTCCCAGAAAATACGAAAGAACGAGTTTCTAGTTCAAGAACAGGTGGCAAAAAAGCAGAAACAACGAATGCGAAAGAAGGATCAGATGTTACGGATCAAGATTGCGAGATGCGATGCAACATAAAATCCTAAAGATTTATTCTTGTCCTTATCTTCATCTTATTTTTTCCTGTTTTCCCTTAGTTCAATAATGTTTCTCTAAGCAAAACTTCACCCAGACTTGCAAAAGACATAATTTTTTAAATAGCTTCAAACAAATTTTAAATACTCATTTTATTATATTTTTTAATTAATTGCAATCGATGAACGTCACGCTGGTGAAGTTTAGCTAGGACTTAACCATGGAGCGTTTTCTTTCATCCATGGTAGTAACACCGGAGTTAAATTTAAATGCCAGATTGATCCAAATCCGAGACACGCCTCTCGCGGTAATTACGTCGGTTTTTTTTGCAGCGCGAGTCGGGGAAAGTCAACAAAGCGTCGTCGCGTGTCGGATCGTAAACGTTGGCGCGGTGGCGTCCGAAAGGAGAATGGATTTACACGACGGCGCCGACGTCGTGCATGGCGTGAGCTCGGCACGACCGGCTATTGGCCAGTCGATACTACGACGTTCCTAAGAGTGCCTCCACGCGTGCTGTCCCGACCCCGCTTTTCTTCCCGCCGACGACGACGAGTAGGGGTCCACGACGTAGGAAGCGCAGTGGCCGCGAAACGTCCCGATTTAAAAGACAAAGCGGCAAGACGGCGACGCGACGCCTCATTAACGATATCATAAATGAAGCGTCCCTGAAGTCATTTAATGTCATACTTTTCTCCCAACTATATAAATCCTTCGACGAATCGAAAAAAAAATCAGACTTTGTCATTTTAACATTCGTAAATAAAGCTGGACCCAAATCAAACGAGAACGAACAAACGCAAATAATCTCACCTCGCTAATTACGGTGCCACAGCTAAATATTTAGAGAATTCAGTTAATTTAGATATATTAAAAATTTTTTTTCAATAATATCAATTCGAGTAATAGTTGCATTTGATATTCAAAACGAATAGTGCTACACAATTTTTTCTCTATTTTTTTTGTAATTATATATTTATTATCAGCATTATTTTTACAACTATACTTAATTATTGAAAAAATTAAATAATTATTATTTAAATTTTTCCACCACTAACAATTAAATTAATCTTCATCAAATTAACGATTGAAAAATATTTTAATAAAACAAAACTTAATGTTCTAAATATTCAGCTGTTCCTGAAAAGGACTTTTGAAAAAAAAGGCACTTTCTCTCTTCGAAATTTCTATTTAATCGCGACGCAATGGAAAACGCAGGTCGTGATACTTCCCGTGCAATTAACCATTACATTAAACAATAGTCGAGAACCGTCGTTCTCCTACCACGAGTGTTTTCGCGCGTCTATTCGCAACAACCCATATCGGAGAATGTAATATGTTCCCGAAGTGGGCGCAGTTCCGGATAGCACCAGGCTGCCAGATGCACCATGCGCCGATTGCACACGCGTAAACAACGGACGGAAGTTTAAATAAACGAATTGCAACCCACGTGAACGTCCGGGAAGAACGCACCGCGTGCTTCACGAAAAATTCGAGGAAAGATATTGCATTATATTTAACGCTTATAACCGACGCTTCTTCGCCGTGACATTGCATGCATGCAACGTGCAACGCGCGTGAAACGCAGTGGCGGCTATCAATTTTCATGTGACGCTAAAGAACGTCGTGACGCTCGCGATCGCGACGTCCGTGACGCGATCGGTCCTCAATGCCACATCATTCAATGGCACGTCGCGGAAATCGTATCTTCATTGAACCGTCATTCTATTTAAGCGGCTACATCGCGCTGGCGTTCAATAAAGTTTAACTTACGTCATAGTGACAGCGCCGCGAAGACAATCTGTTACTCCCGATTACGCAATCATTGCTTTCCCCCGATTTGAATAGAGTTTTGCGAAGAAGCAATGAAGGCGTTGCCTTTCAATAGCCAGAAATCATTCGATGCTGCAAGAATTATCACGGAAATGACAGGATTTATTATAATAAATAAACTAATAAATGGATACTAAAAAATTTTAGGAGAATTTACGGAACGCAAGAAGATTCGTTC